TCCCTCCGTTCTCTTCCTCCTCCTTTTCTTTCCTTCAGGACCAGACGCCCGTCGCTGAGGCTCCGCCCACCACCGCGGTCCCCGTCCACGAGCAGCCGACCAGGTCCCTGTCCCAGAACTCTTTACGCAGGTACTGAAGACCTCATCACATATGTCTGCCCCCCCACTGACCCCCCCCAGTACAACATGGTCTAATTAGTTTGAGCAGCAGGGGGTGCTGAAACACCTCAGCTCATAGAGAAGTGTGTTCTACATATGGACAATGATTTGTCTTTTTAAATCCAGTGGGTGTGGCTTATACTCAGGTGTGACCAATAGAATCAAAGAAACTACAGTAAATGTCACCCTGTCTGTGCTCCAGCAGGGGGGGCTCTCTCTGTCTGCAGGACTTCAAGTTGGTGGCAGTTCTGGGCAGGGGGCACTTTGGGAAGGTAAATATAACAGACCTGTGTAGTGACCGACTGGTTCTGACCGACTGGTTCTGACCGACTGGTTCTGATCGACTGGTTCTGACCGACTGGTTCTGACTGACTGGTTCTGACCGACTGTTCAGGTGCTGCTGTCAGAGTCCAGGAGGAGCGGCGCTCTGTTCGCCATCAAGGCCCTGAAGAAGGGCGACATCGTCGCACGTGACGAGGTGGAAAGGTGACGACCTCACACACACACACACACGCTTTGTACTTGTCTCCCTGCAGTTACAAGTGTCTCACGCCCCTCCCCCCCTCACCCCCCCGTCTGTCTGTCTCCAGTCTGATGTGTGAGAAGCGGATCTTTGAGACCGTCAACAGTTCCCATCATCCCTTCCTGGTCAACCTGTTCGCCTGTTTCCAGACTCCAGAACACGTGTGTTTTGTCATGGAGTACACGGCGGGAGGAGACCTGATGATGCACATCCACGCCGACGTCTTCTCCGAGCCACGGGCTGTGTGAGTCCTCCGTGTGTGTGTGTGTGTGTGTGTGTGTGTGTGTCCTGATCTGGTTGGTCTCCGTCCGTCCACAGGTTCTACTCGGCCTGTGTGGTTCTGGGTCTGCAGTTCCTCCACGACCATAAGATCGTGTATCGGTGAGTCGCCGTCGCGGACGTGTTTGTGTCAGGTCAAAATGGTGGTCAGTGTAGTGACGTTGTTGTGGTTCTGGGTCAGGGACCTCAAACTGGACAACCTGCTGCTGGACAAAGACGGATTTGTGAAGATCGCCGACTTTGGTCTGTGTAAAGAAGGTCAGTGAGTCACCTTTATTTATTCACGTTTGAAGGTAAAATATATTCCACCCTCAACGAAAAAAGACGAAAAAAAAAATGTCTGTATTTTTAAGGCATGGGTTTCGGGGACAAGACCAGTACCTTCTGTGGGACCCCCGAGTTTCTGGCCCCAGAAGTTTTGACCGACACGTCGTACACCAGGGCAGTGGACTGGTGGGGGCTGGGGGTCCTCATCTACGAGATGCTGGTCGGAGAGGTCAGTTTGTGGAAGGGTCAGAGTTTGGGTTTCACCAGCGAATCAGGAGACCGAAAAAAGACGATTGATTGATTGATTGATTGATTGATTGATTATTTTGGGCCACGAAGCTTTGTTTCGATGGATGACATCGTAAACCTTGTGGCTGAATTCTTCTTCCCTCCCAGTGTTTTTGAGGATGTCGTGAGCGTCTTCAGTTCTAATCTGTCAGTGTGTTAAAAATAAGGTTCGCTTCCCTTTAGTCTCCGTTCCCTGGTGACGACGAGGAGGAAGTCTTCGACAGCATAGTCAACGACGAAGTGCGTTACCCTCGCTTCCTGTCCACCGAGGCCATCGGCATCATGAGACGGGTCAGAGTCAGCCCCGCCCTGATGATGTCACAGTTTGAGTTGAGTTTTGTCTGATGGTTGTTGTTCCTCTGGTCCCAGTTGTTGAGGAGAAACCCCGAGAGACGTCTGGGCTCCGGAGAAAAGGATGCTGAAGATGTGAAGAAACAGCCGTTCTTCAGGGTGAGAACATCGTAGACCCTGGTGGTTCTGGGTGGAAACACCCGCTGTTTAATTTAAAGAATACGTAGAAAAAAACTGTGCTGAAGAAACCGGCGTTTTGACAGAACCTCAGGTGAAAATCAGCAGAATTTCAAATGTGAATCGTTTCCTGTTTTCACGCCTGGTTTCCCTCAGGGCGTGGACTGGGAGGCACTTCTCCGGAAGAAGGTCACGCCGCCGTTCGTGCCGACAATCAAGGGAAGAAACGACGTCAGTAACTTTGACACGGAGTTCACGGCCGAGGCTCCGGGCCTCACGCCGCCCCGCGAGAGACGCACGCTCACCCGCAAGGAGCAGGACTATTTCAAGGACTTCGACTACACCTCTGACTTGTTTTAAGGTCAGAGGTCAGGGGTCAGGGGTGTTAATGCTGCCCACTGCCAGCCACAGACTCTGACAGGAGACCGAGAAGTAAAGGCTGAGTCTGTGCTGTAACCATGGAAACAGAGTCTGGAGACGACGTCAGCAAAGACACATCACTTTCACTGTGACCTGTATGTGTGTGTGTGTGTGTGTGTGTGTGTTGTCACGGTCCTGCTGAGCTCCAAA